AAAGAACAGTTGGGCGATACAATTCAAAATAAAGGGAATGCTTCATTGTCATCTCACCCCCTCCACTCCCCATCGCCTGTTTTTATAATCAGTGTCCTTCCAAAAAGTGTATGGCTTGTTTGTTAGCCGAGGAACTTGAACATGCAGATCGGGGTTCTCTTGATTTTCTCAACTTTTCACTCGGATTATAGAAGCTTTGAGCACTTTCCTGAACAATAATTGTTCCCAGAACTCTGTGCGTTTTGTGCTTGGTTGAAGCGGATGCGACATGGTTCCACGACCCGATCGACTTATTTCTCAACGCGACTCTGATTGATGACGCCGATATTGTTACTTCAATCAAAGGGCTTACTCACGTTGTAAGTTGTACATATTATGGTTATTTTTTCCGTAATTTACGAAATATTCTTGCGTTCGCGCTACTTCCGTCAAGCGCTGAGACTAGAATTTAAATAGCTTATTCCAATATTTCTGGAAAGCTGACCTTAGCTCTTCCAAAGGCACATACCACACTGATTATATGGACGGGACTGGCCATTGTGCATTTCTCATTGTAGCCTCCCCTTCTACTTCGCCATCTTCTTCGCCATCTTGGAGTGAAAGGTGTGGCAATATACCAGTGGTAGACATCTTAGAGTGAAGGTGTGGCAATACACCTGTTTTAGACTTGGCCCCGCTGGATGCCAGACCTATCGTGAAACTATCTAGGACAACTCCCACCCTTTTGTCATTCTACACTCTCTCCAAACACTGGCGGCCGCCGCCGATCAATATCCATCTGTAGTGGGGCGCTGTTGATGGTATGTCTATGGACAACTTGAACTCATTCCCTTTAAACTCCGTCGATCTTCTGTTTTTTTTCTGCACTCTCTCTCGTCCGCATGGCACTCTGTGGCTGTTGTGACTTGCACAGCCCAGCTTTTCACGGGTTATAACTGTCCCCTCCCCTGAAAAAATCCGTTTCCTGGCTTGCGACATGTTTCCTGCCCTTTTCGATGCTTTGGCAGCCGCTGTCGTCCATCTGTCTGCGTTACATGGTTTCGCAACAGGACCACGCACAAGAGTCGAAGATGTCATGTACCCGTTATTGTAGTGCGCCACAGCGCATCTACACGCGTAATCGCAAAGTCTAAACTATGCCTAAAGAGGATAGATCTGAAATGTCAGAAAATCCGGACTGGAGCCGCCGCTCGGCCTAAATCCACGCCCTATCAATGCGCCGCGTTACGGTTTGCACATACACAGATGCGCATCCCGCTGCCCACTGACCAATGATCGAATCAACCTGTTGAGTTACCTGTTGCTGTGGAGTGCTAAAAATTTGGCCTGGAGCCAAGACGGAACTTTATTTCCGAACAGACTCCCTTGAATGTTCACACATTTTTTTTCTCGGAACGAACTATAACTCACGCTTTTCTTGAGTGTTTGAGGAAATCCGTAATTATTTATTTGAGGGTGACTCTTTGGCATTCAGTCCAATGTTGGTGGAACCGACGAATACTTCAATAGTTTTACTCAACGAAATCAATAAGCGTATCTTGGAAAACAAATCAGTTTATGATCAGGTGATTCTTATGTGATTGCTTGATAGTACCGCAGGGTGTTTTTGTTGAGCAACATTTTTTTATTAACTCGTGAGGCAATTTGCCATAGTAAGTTGTAAAGGTAACTAATAGAACGTCGCTCTGAAGAACGTGCAGGACTTGTGCGGGAACGCTAGTGGGCGTGGCCTCGACGTTGCGCGCGTGGGTGTATGGCTATCGAGTCACTTTGTAAGTTCGGAAAACAGGCGGGGTACTGTACCGCTGACTGCCTAAAACTGAGCGCGTGGGGCTAGCGAGTGCGCACAACACCACTCAGTTTCTGCCAGCGCAGTCCTTGGATACAGGTGGAAAATGGAATTAGCGCTGCTCTCGCTTCCTGGTTTCACCAAAGAGATTTCTGCCCGCCTCCCCCCCCCCCCCCCTCCAACACATTTAATTTAACCCACAGTCTTTGGGGGTACTGCATCCCGCCTGTTTTCCTGAACTTATAATCTTGCTATCGAGTTTACTCCACGAAATGAAGACAGCAACTACAATGACTACAGTCCTGTCGCGCTCGCAATGTGTGATATGAGGGAACTACGGGGAATCCTTCTGAACTATTTTCCTGGACAGGCCAGCGCCATAGCCTAGTCGCAAAAGCTAACAATCGCGGCTGCCCAGACGCAGCTCAGAGCTGTCTTGTCTCACGCAATCCCTGTTTGCAAGAGCATTCAGTTAGTTGACATATCACACAGCTGTGTACATCCGAGAGGCAATATGTTTATGGTGCGAATGACGCGCATAAATAATAATACATAATCTGCTTATTAAGGACATCCTCAGCGAGCTGTGCTCTATACAATACCACGGCGTAGTTTGTCGAAACTTCGAATACAAGAAGTCGCAGATGGAAAATGGTAAGCGTCAGAGGATTCAGCCAGGAAAAATGCTCTAAATACTTGATTAATCCCTCTAAATCGAATGTTTACAGGTACTACCTCAGCGATAAGGACCACAGTCTTATGCGGCCCTACATAGTTAATAACAACTTCTATGTTGGATTGAAAACAAGAGGGCTCGTCAGTGACAATAACGAGCTTTCGATCGCTGTACGGCACTCTTGGAAATTCCAATTTCAGGCAATAAATGGCCTATGGTTCTTGACTAGAAGCGGGCACTGTTCAATAGAGAAGGTCGAGCGAGCCCGAAAACGACATCTGGAATAATAGAAACCTTTAGTAGGGACAATTTCGATTCTGCCTGATATTCATCTGTGATTACTTGATTGACACTTCTGCCATAGCGGGTTTTCCTACCAGTGACCGGGTTATTTATTTTATTCCACTCCGTCATAGTGGATAATATTCGTGCTACTTATGAATGAATTTGAATTACTTTGTTTCGTTCGACGCTTACACCCTCACCATCTACAGAACGACTGTAAACAGAAGATTTCAGCTATGAGATGTACGGAAGTGGTCTGTGAGCACATTTCTAGCATGTTGTTTTGCATTTTACTTATTGGTCATAGATTTTAGCTTACATATGTCGAGACAGAGCGCAAGTGCAGCTTATACAGTAGACGCACGGTACGGTAGCCAAACCTTGGATCGGACTCTTTCCTAGCAAGCATCCTTCCATCCCACCGGGATCTACCGAATAGCACCACAAAAAAAAGAAGAGAGAAACACTCCTTTTTAGACGTCTCAAAAAAGAAAAAGCACAATGCTGATCCTATGTTCCCTTCTTTAATCCCAACCCTGTCGCGTCTTTTGAAATCGCGGACAGGTTCGTCTAATTCGTGATCCAGATAAACCGGTATGCAAATGCCGTTTTGAAACCCGATGTGACACCAAATGATAATCTTTCCAATCAACTTTGCAAATCGCAAAACAGGAATTCCAGTGTTCTCAGTCGGAAAGATGAAAAAGAAGTGTTTAGTTGGCTATGTACAGTCTTCTTCACAGCGAATGAAGAGACGGCGTGTCGGACGAGATGGGTTTGGTGCGGAAACCCGTTACCCACCAGATGTTGAAGAGAGCAAGCAACACGTTTGTATCAAGTCGTTAGTATTATTTCCCACTAACTTTTGCTGCTTAACCCCTTCAGCAACTTTTAAAGAAAGGGTTGGCACCGCGCCCCATCCATCCCGCGTGACACGCCCCTTCATCCGCAGCGAACAAGCCAGTAACACAATGAGAAGAAGAATTACGTGATCTCAAAGATCGGTGTGATGCTAAGTTTGCTCTGGAGGAGGGATAGGTACCAGTCATGTATAAGTTGTATATGTTACATGTGTGTTTTCTGTTGTACCAGTGTTGGCTAACGCACACTCTCGTGTGCACCACAGCGTAGTTCTCAGTGGACGAATTTGATAGCAGATATCAGGTCCTGAATAACTCACGCGAAAACCAGCAGCGCTTGCTCAGGGTCCTGCTTTGGGAAGCACCATGTAGTTTAGTGGCTGCAAACCTACCACAGGAGTGCCTTTTATAGGCGAGGAAGATGCTGCCATAATCAAAACATCATCTCAGATACTGATACTGTAGCATCGACCGGTTTCTGTTTCGGCTAGCTGTTTCTGCTATCCCTCTCTCTAATCTCACCCTGAAGTCATTTTCCGGACGGACCGACATACAAAGTTTCTACTTTATAGAATAGAGTGATGCATATGTTATGGGTAGCTATGACACTTTCTTCAGAGCAACTTATACCATCTACCATCACTAGCTCTGGTCTGCCCTGCTTCTTAGCTGTTTACTTCGTCTCTCTATCCCCCTTTACTTCACCTCTTTCTATCCCCGGTAAGCAAAATTTGTGACGACTACTTTTCCAATTGATGTATACCCTCTCCATGAACCACAACCTCTCAATCTTCGGGGAGGAATCCTTAATTGTGAGGCACTCTATTAGGAAACAGGGTATATTAGGAAACAGGCTACCAGGGCACATCGCTGTTGAGGAATCCCCAATAGGGGGAGTCGTATTTGGCCGCCAGGAGAGGGGTGTAGTTGGGCTGGCAAAAATTTATTTTGATAGTTGATTTTTCTCGCTTCACGGACGTTGGAAAGGGGAGGGGTGTATTTACGTTTTGGTGTTGTAGGGTGGTGGTTGACTTTTGGTGATTTTCCTGTTTCATGCGTACTATGTGCGCCCCCTCCCCCCCCTTCCCCCACTCGACAGCAAAATTTTTGGGGAAAAGTAGGAAAGTTTTCGGGAAATTTTGGAAAAAGTGGCAGGAAGTTGGGGAAAATCTGAGAATTGGTACAAGGGGGGGGGGGGAACGTTTATGTGCATATGCATTTACCCTCCCCATTTACTCCCCCCCCCCCCCCGCTCGACGGCGGCTCGATTCGATGAGGAGGAACGGAGGTGGGGGGGGGTCGCACCGACCCCCAAAGAAAAGGGGGTCCTTGACAGACTCGGGCCATCCCCAACCAATGATGTGCCCTGCAGGGTACCCACCGTTGGGAGAATCCCATCAGGGGGAAGAGAGGAGAGGGGAAGAATGATGGAGGTTATTCAGTCCTGACAGAAATTTTTAAGTCAAGGATGGAATTTTCGGTTGTTAAGTTTGCGCAGTCTTTCGCTATACACCTCGACCTAGTTGACGGAGCTCAAAGACCTAAGAATAACTGGCAGCCATTTTCGAAGTGGTTGTTCAGGAACGCTCCCCGCTCTTCCCCCCCCCCTCTCCCCATCCACTCGACGGCATTGTTTTGAACGAAAGCCTCGGAAAACTGAACAGAAGTGGTTGTAACTTGTGAAGTTTGGGAAGACAGCAGGTAGATGGGAGAGGGGGAGGAAAGTTATACAGCAGAAGAATTATCGAGTGGGAGCGTCTGAGAACGTCGTTTTTCTCACTCTGCTGCTGTACCCTGGTTGCATAAGGAGCGTTACCTTTCATGTGTTTGGCCGACTTGCCAGCTCGCAGTTGGTAGATCGTTCCCCGCTTGTCTGCCGTGAAACGGGTGAATAGCAGATGTGCATTACTGCAGTTAAGAGCTACCCATGAGTCCATTGTCTCAGGTCAGATGGAAGTGTTCATCTGAAGGGAGCAAGTTCGAAGGCTGAGGGCACGGTGACTGAGGGTGGGCAGTTACTGCATTAATGGAAGGGATGCGAGAGACCTATCGGCCACTCTCCACTTGGATCTTCCACTAATGACGCCGATGGAACCGCCCTCCCCAGTCATCGTGGCCACTGCTTCTGAACCTTTGACTACTAGGTCACCTACCAGCACTAACAGAGTTTTTTAGAGAAGTAGTAATTAGGTGGTGAGTTTGATAAAATACTTGCTCGGAGAAGGAATAATAGAAAGGCCAAGTGTTAATCGACAGAACCTAATAATTTTATTTTCTCACCTTCAATCTCTCGCTCTTGTTCACAATTTCGTCAAATTCTTCTATAAATCTTTATTAGATAGCCAATTCACTATAAGTACATTATTTGCCAAAGCCACCGAAATACCCGTTGTTATAGGCGCCTAGGTTCAAGCTTGAGCTGAGCCCCAAACTGCTGCCGTAGCTGCTACCAAATCCAGGAAATCCACCGCCGAAGCCTGGATAGCCGCCACCAAACCGCCAGATCCTGGATAGCCGCCGCCAAAACCGCCAGATCCTGGATAGCCGCCGCCAAATCCACCATAGCCAGGATAGCCGCCGCCGAAACCGCCGAATCCACGTCCGAAGCCACCATAACGCTTTATCCGTTGCGACCTGAAAATGGGCACTATTTGGGAAGTTCTGCTGATTCTTAATTCTAAGAGTTCCTACACTTAGTGAATTATAAATTTCAAACCTCTTGTCTTCGGAGACAACATCAACAACATCGTGGGAAATCGGTGAGGCGTTACAGAGGAATAAAAATGCACAAAACAGGCCGACAAGTAGTACAGCATTCATCTCTGGAGGAGGTGGCGTTGCTCAATGAATTGACTCAGTCATTTTATAGTGGTTGCTGCCCGAGTAGTTTGGCAAAGGTAACGTTGAAAGTTGTAGCTTTGGCAAATTTCCCTACTACTAGTTATTTTGCTTTTGCGAATTGGGTACTGGTAACGTGGCCACGACTCAAAAACGGGTTGCTGTTGGTATATGGCGAACATATGTACTTGGGCCAAGGCGACCAAAAACATTGCTGATTCATGAAAAAAAGATGTTTTCGTCAATTCAGTTGCGCTCTAACAACATGGCTTAGCATGAATTGCCTTGGTTTTCGGCTCAAACAGTTTCATCTCATATTCTCCTGTAAACTTTCTGCAGTTTTGATAGTTGAGACGCGCGACAGTGCAGAAATGCTGGTATGCACTCCGTCCACGGTGTAAACAACTTTTGTACCAGTTGCTGCGATACAACACTTAAGAGACGTACTTTAGTTTTGTTCAATTTCAGAATCCGTTTTTTTTCTTTCGTAGTTTCACACAACTGCACGGTGCATCAAAGTGAAACCACCTGCAGTGGCAAATAACTCTCGACATTCACGAAATTTTTTTTTTCCTTTTCATTCCCATTTGACTATGTATTAGGTTGGCGGGAAAGTTCTGTCACATTTTTTCAAACAAGGCTTTCTTTTTATAGAGAGGCGTACAAGATCAAAATTATACAGCAATGTCATTGCGGAATCCCTGCCAGTTTTCGAGCACTTCGTGGATGCCATCGCTTCACAATGGAGGCTGGCACGACGCAATGTTGGACATCATCTCAACTTTGACTTGGGCTCAAGTCGTGGAGGTTTTCTCGGCTGTATAACGGTTAAATACGGGAGGCGACTAGCAGTCAGAAAGAGCAATGTCTGGGGTACACCAGTGCAGAGGGAGAGCCATCCAGCTCTTTTGCATGAAGTACGGCTCGAACTTTTTTTGACGGGGTGTGCTGCACCAGCACGTTGAAGACGGACTGCCGATGGATTTTGCCCTCTGCTTGACGATTCGCTTCAGATCTCGTAGCTGCCTTGCGTACGGATTAACCGAGGAGACAGCTTCTTTATACAGTAGTTTCCCGGCCCACAGCTATCTCAAGCTGAGATCACAGGTACTCCCAAACATCACTTCGCCATTCGCACCGTAGCCTCCCGCTCTGAAGAGCCAGCGTCGTGGAAGATTGTCAGATGACTGTAGACATTGTCCTTGTGCAGCTCCATTATTTCGGCGTCGACAGCTGTCATGCTGGCGCCAGGGCGGTAGAAGAAAGAGTTTGAGGAAGCGCTTGGAGGGGTCGGTGCCAAAGGTAGCGGATAACATTCTTGTTCATATTGCACAATAAGGAGAAGCAGGAGTCAAGCCAGTGATACCAATAGAAAGACCATTCTTTGATGTATAAGTGCTCATATTACCGGTTAACGCTTTTCAGAAAATTAGCAAATATTTTGGGTTCAAAAATATATGACAGAACTTTCCCGCCAACCTAATACTTGTTTAGCATTTACTTTAGCTTTTGAGCGACTTACCGTCGAAATTAGCTTCCTCACATATGTTGTTTACGCCGTGGACGGAGTGCATAACCCGAGTATCCGACATGGTGGAGCCCTTACGTGCATAAGATGGCGAGGTCCACAATTGCGCGGCCGCATCGAAAGCGATTAGTAAAGCGCCACGGTTTAAACGACAGTCTTCACGATGACAGCGCTTCGGTCGCGCGTTCGACGCGATCGATGCGCATGCTTTCAACTGCATTGATGGGGTAGAACGTGTGACCGAAGCGCTGTCGTCGCGCAGTCTGCACCTGCCTTAGCGACGATGAGCTAGCTCCTCTTGATCCACCTGCACCACTTCGTTTTACATTTTATTTTGAACGTCGCCTCTTGTTTCAGTGCATCTTCTACTGTGGTATGCACGGACGTCCTGCCTGATCACGTCTCTCCTTCTCTTTGGGCTCCTCGTCCTCGCTTTCCCTGTAATTCAAAGTCCAGCACTTTCCTTATTGGACCGACTTATCGGGTGGTTTCAGGTCTCCTCGTGCCATCGTACGCTGCTTTTCGTTTCGACGGGAACCGTCTGTGTGACTGTGTCCGCCCCAACGTCCTCATTTCCTGGTCGTGTCCAGCAGCGAACCCATCTGGGCTGACTGAAGCTTTCCTGGTTCCTGAATATGGGCGGTCACTCGCTGCCGTAGAGTGGGCTCCCTCTATTCCATACACATTGTTTTTATTCGAGCCTCAGCTGCCTGGGCCACTCTATCATCTGCAGCTAGCTCGACCCCAGGTAATTAAAGGTTTCAAAACCTTTGATGTTTTCGCCTTGGCGTTCTACTACGGGTCAGGCGGATTTCAAATACTGTGAGCTTAGTTTTCTTTATGCTTAGCCGGAGTTCATTCCCAATGACATCCTGCCACCTTGCTCTCGGGATATTCTCCCATATCCGCTATAGGGCAAGTCGTCAGCTATAGGATTTTTTTACTGGCCCTCTATAAGTTCTTCTGCCATGTCATCCAAATTTAGCAGGAAGAGAGGTGGGCTCAGGGCTGATCGCTGGTCGACAGCAATGGTGATGTTCACCCTCTTTGTCAAACCGTGTAAGATGAGCTGCATGAGAGCCTCGTTGTTCATGCCCTTCACTACGGTGACCAAGTGTTCCAAAACGTTCCGTTTTCTGAGCACTCTTCCAGAGCACAGGTTGAGGTGAGCGGTCGAATGCCTTCCCAAGGTCCAGGAAGGCTAGGAAGCAAGCTTGCCGCTGCGTTTGATACCACTCGATCACCTGGGAGACGACATCAGTGGTGGGCCTGCCAAATAGGGACTAGTTCGGCACCCTTGTTTTGGCTAACTGCTCGCACAACTTCATGGTATGGAGAGATGGTATGCAGAGTCAACCTCCTGCCAAGGTAGTTAGTGCTTTCCGTAGCTTATTCTTTCTGTTCAAGATGGAAATAATTGTGCGAGTCTTCTACGACTGCGGCATCCTTCCTTCAGCTGTTACCTCCTTCAGGAAGCGGGTGAGCCAACTTTCCCTCCGCTCTGAGGCATTCCACGCTCCTTTCAGAACCCCACCCAGACCATCTGCCTTTCCAACCTTCATACTTCCTGATTCTCGGCATACGTCATCCCCTGTTCATGGAATGTGACCTAGTTTTATCCTTGGGCCGTCCTTGCGCGGTGATTCTTTGTTCCGGGGTACCTATAAGTCATCATTCCCACCTACATCTGGCTTCCGCTAGTTTTCCTAGGATTGGCCTTCACATTGTAGACCTCTACTGCATTGGTCTAGGTCTACTGGACCGGCCTGTGTGGGTACGGGAGCCCAGCGTCCAGTATTCTTCGACCGGAGCTATCCTGCATCATTTTGCACATTTTTCACCACCGAGTTCTCCGCTCGGGTTTTACCGTCGTCTCTTGGAATGTGTACGGCGATGCCTGTCAAGTGTGGTCCATGCTGGGGGTTAATCTCTTCGTCAGGAAGTACATCGATTCCCTAAATGCTTTTGAGGGACGATCTCCCCCCAGGAAATGGTCGATTTCTCCTTCTCCTGTCTCCATGTCTCCTTCCACTCCTAGTGTCGTGACGACTGCACGACTTCTCCGCACGGTCCGTTCTTACCCATTGCGCTCTCCACGCGCAACTGTCTGTCGTCTTGGAATGTTTAAAGGACCGTCTTTACAGTCCGCACTGGGGTCTCATCGCGCAGTTGCGTCTTCACTGCCTATTCGACGCAACTCTACATTTTGGGCCCGCCAGCAGTCTTTGGGCGCACCTTACGCTTGGACCGGCTGTACTCCGTCTGTATATCACCTCCTGCATTCCAACCACGAGCCTGGAGCTCGCCCTTGTCCAAGCCTGGCCCTTGTCCCTCGTCTAGCGCAGTTGCCGCCCTGGGGCAACTCTACTCATGCCGCACCACCATGCTCTAGGTCCGAAGATCGCCCCCCCTCACATATGGACTCGCAAGGATAGGAGCGCAGGCGGCTGGAGAGTCTTCCCCCAACTAAGGCAGGCAACTGGCACGTAGGTTTAGGTGTTTTTTAGGGTGTTTTCTATTGTTATTTATCGCATAAATTACCCTTTTCAATTCCTCTTGTTTCCCTTTTCTTTTGATTCACATGTTTCACGCATGTTCTACTTCTAATCGATATTTGTGTATTACCTTGGTGGTCGACGCTATTTATTTATTTATTTATTGAACTATTGTACCTAATAATAACCATTGGCAATACTAGAAGAAGATCACAGAATTACAATAGAGATGACACAGGCAAAGAAATGTAATGCAGAAAGAAAATAAAAAATAAAAGCCATCGGTGCATGTAACATTGTACCAGGCCTAAGTTTTGCGGTAATTAATATATGCATATACAGAGAGAAAATAAGGGGGAGGCGAAGGGCGGGGGGGGGTGGGATGGTGGACAACAGGAAGGAAGGGCAGTGGCCGGCCAACACTGCAAACCGTTAGCGGAACTTCGGCTCCGGATACCATCTTAGTAGGTCCGCCAACCCTCCGTAGTCCACCCCAATTCTGCACGACGGGTTCTTAGGGGCTAGGTTAATGGGGCATTGCTTTCAAAAAAAAAATATTCGCATAGTTACAACGTGGAAATAAAAATAATTGGAAAAAGAGAACTGTGATTACAATTATAATAATATCGTTATTCGTTATATCGTTATAATTATAGAATGCGGCACAGATAAAAGGGGTGAAGGAGAGCTTGACAGGCATCTAGGAAAAGAGATTGGACTAGGTAGGCGACACGGGCAGACCAAGAAAGTTGTGAAACATGCTGAAATATGATTGTATTACCTTACTATGAAATTCTATTACAAAATCAGTTACCGTTGTTGTTGAACAAAGATCTCGTTTTCCCATGTATAGGGAGATCGGTAGTGCTCACCTCGCAGGAAGGAATTGGAAAACTTGCAGACAGTAGACAAAAGACACTGATCCCGTGCCACCAAAGTGGTCTTTGATTACCGACAAC